CTACGATGGATGCAACCAGAAATTCGGTGGTAGTGTTCCATACTTTATTCAAAAAAAATTTTTTTTTCAAAGTCACGTATGTATGCACAATCATGTTCTCCCATAAAGTTTCGCTTGTCTTTGCACATTAAACGGCAAAAAATTATGGTGGATTGCTTAAATATCGCAAAAGTTCCGCTTGGATCGAATTACTTGTGTTTGATAAATTTCAAATGCACCTATTTGCAAAACATAGTCTTTGCCCGCACCTCAAAAATTGTTGACTCGCTTTATGAGTTGACAAGGGTGCAAGCTGGAATTAGGATGGAGGTTTTTCTTGTATATTATTTTTTGAGCACACTGAGAATCTGAAAATTTCTTTGAAATCTGTTATGGGCGTTTGGAATGACATCTTCTGGGATTTTTTTTTATGGCTGGTATTTATAGTTAACTTATTCTAAAACTCAACATAAGTTTTGCTTGATGACTTTTTCGGAAGCGATCTCTTTTTCCGGTTGCATAAAAATGGCAGTTGTTTTCATTTTTTTCGTTTAATGCAGCTCGTAAAAAAATGTGGATAGGAGTCTACGCTATTTTGACTTCAAGCAGCAGATCGCTACTGGTGTGATGCGCTTTGAGTGCGTATGTAAATTTGCGTATGTAGAGTAAATCGAGAATGTCATCTGTTTGTATAGCCTCGTTAAAGTTTTGCTGTGTTATTATAAATGCGCGATGAAACTCTGATGTAGTTTGAATAAGTAATCACTAGAATAGCGTTATAAAGCGCACGCTTATGTTATCTTCAGATTATATGATAACCGAAAATGAGCTCAAGGTAGTGTCCGTTTCTCATATAATCAGCTGTTGCGCAATGTGAGACGTAAACTATTCTATATACTGAATATGTTTCGCGGCTGTGATTGGCTTAAGCAAGCTTCGCGCGCATGTGACACATGTTTTCTATCTTCGAGAATTGAATTAATTGCTACCTGGGGTGCGATGTATGCGCGCTATAGGTTCATCAGCGCTCTTAGCATCAGTGTAACAGCGAGCGATTCTGAGTCATGAGTTCAGCGCTACTGCTGTTTATTGTACATATATGTAATAAATTAGGCCTTAACCGGTATACGCGAACGAGTCCATTCAAAAATGCTTAAAAAATAAAATCAATCAAATTATATGTTGCAAAAAGTTACGTACGTACTTCCCGGATCCCGGTGATTCGAAATTATTTGAATCACGGATCAGGGTCACGGTAATGCAAGAAAATATTTTGGTCATGATTCACGGAGCAATTCAGTGAATCTCTCAGTCTACTTGGGTAGAAACCGAAAATAATTTGCGTACATACGAAATTGCCGGCAAATAAACAAAATAGAGTGCGATAGGCACTCGTTCGCAGGACTATGTCAGAAGCTCAAAAAAAAGTTAGTGCGCACACCTTCTATATATTTGTTAATAATGTGAAGGAACTCACTTATTCGTTCGATTCTTCTCAGCTGGTGAGAATATAGATAACAGAATAGTTAGGGGAGAGGGAGAAGGGGCAGAGGGTGTGGATTTCTTTTGAATTTTGCCCATAAACAAAAAATTTGTAAAAACAATCCTAAATTTAGGAATATCTCCCCGGTACCTCCATGTCAGGATAAGGGATGTACGGGCCCTTACCTGAGCGTGTAGCGGTATTACAAGGTTTGATAGAAGGAGGTCATAAATGTTTATTATATAGCATACATAGGATAAAGGGAAAGGGGAAGGGGAGCAGCGAAGCTGCAAGGAGTAGAAGAGACTGCCATGCCAGCTGTCGGCATGATCTTATATACGTGGCCGGGGCTTGGCATACTGGACAGTTGGTTCATGCCGGTGGCATGGTTCATCTAGCTATACGATTACACATAGGCTATTCTTAGTATACGATTAGGCAAAGGCTACATCCTGATAAGTACACTTATGTGAAAAATTTTGGAAAATTACGTGAAGAAGGAAGAAATTTATGACTAGGTTCCGCGCAAGCTCGGGGTGCTCCCAGGATGCGTAGGAGCAACCTAAATTAGAAAACTTACAGCTCTTTTTATTCACATAATTTTTTCATTATTTTTCAAACATTCCTTTGGATCGTCGCCGCGGATGTACACACCAAATTTGGTGACTCAATATTACCTACCGGTTGTAAACAGACTAAATGACTATCATTTAATTTTTTTGTGCATAAAGATTGTGTTTTAACAAGTTGAAAACGTGTGCACACGTCTGAGCACTTGGCAGGTTTGCAATGTGTTAATCTATCTGTTGCTGAAACGACGTCGGAGTTACAGTAAGGGCCTACTTACTACGGGTTAGATTTTTGTTTGTTAACATTGATCAGATTTCTGAAAACGAACTTTGGGAACACTACGAGTTCCTTTTTGCTTTTCTTTGAAAGAACGACATCCAGCCTGTGAATGCGCCACCTTTGCTGAGCCCTGTTTCACCGCGAGCGTAAGAAAGGCGGATATGATTACAGAGCATGTTCGCGGAAAAGTTGCAGAGTCCCGCGCGAAAGTAATGCTGGTGCACCCGACACTGCAATTAATGAGCCCTGTATTCAAACATGACTTTTAGTATGAACCGTGGTGCTTCTATTACATTCGCTTTGTCTCTCGGAGAATGAACAGGATGATCAATAAGAACAAAGCAATTTGGACTAGTAGTAGTGAAGACATCAGTCGTAAAGAAATACTAAGAAGAGTTATCATTTCCCAAGTACGTTCCTCCAGTATATGATATTGTTTAACATGTACAATGTATATACGGTCGCTTCATTTCATATGATCATGTGTGCCATTGCACACACAGTCCACTTTGGCGTCCTCATCCTGGATTTGCAATCGCACAAACGCAAGAGACTTACCGATTGTTATCGATTACATCAATCTGAGGTGACTAGTAACTAAAAAGATGAGAAAATGCTAAGAACACCTTGGAAACACCTATCTGAAAGCTTGTTTCTCCCACGAATCCAGGATGGGGACGCCAAAGGTGAACTATGTGTGCAATGACACACATGATCATCAGGGTCAAGCGTAGGGTGCGGCACGCCACACCTGGGGGGTCGTATTGAGGAGTCAAAAAGGGAGGGGGTCGTAGGTTGGGTAATCTGATAATAGTGATAACATGATATTCGTATCATATCCATAATTAGCATGTCAAATAACCCCTGTAGACAAAGTGTGAGCGAATTCTGAAGATTCAAGATACTAGGCTACCTAAATGAAATGGTCAAATTCCAACATGGTTAACTTTGTTTCAAAGGTGAATTAGCTATCCGTTTTTGCACTCAAGACAAAGCACTACTCCTTCTTTGTCCACCTCAGGAATCCCGCTTCAGAAGACCTGCAAACTGTGGAATTAGAAGCCAACCAAAATCTCGTTTTTCCCATTTTTCGCTTTTGATCGCTGTGCTTTCACCAAATATTACTTAGAGCTAAGAAGACAAATCAGGCTCCAAACAGTCCTATGGAATCTACAAGGTTTAGGCTATCGATTCATATAAATACTGTCCGCTAAAAATGTTTTTTTTTGATATAGTTAATGGGGTGCGGCACACCCCCTTAATTAAAAGCTGCGGCTGCCGCAGCTTTTGAGGGGGTGTGCCGCACCCCCTTAACTTGCCTTCAAAATCCAGAAAGCGCTCCATTGCTGGTATGAGTATTGAGCACATAGCTTCTTCTTGCTACATTGGAAATTTGGAGCCGAACGCCCCACCCATAAGAAAATTATGGCCCTTTCAATATGCCCATTCAGATCAAAATCAGCCGTCAAATTACGTGTGATTGTAAAGTGCAGTCACAGAAAATCGGGCGTGCAGCTCTCAGAAATCTGAAAACTCTCTAGAAAAAGATAGTGTCCTCCGGAATGTCACACTTTGAGGTGCAGAGGTTGAGAGGAGGAAGAAGGGGTCGTTTGAGGGCTTTCATGGGGGGGGGTTGAAAGACTTGTGCCTGACCTCCTTCTCAACTCTGGTAATGCTATCTTAAGTAATATAGTTCGGGGGGGGGGGGTCTTATTAAGACAGCAATCAGGGGGGGGGTCGTAACCAGCGATCGTGTGCCACACCCCTTGCTTGACCCTGATGATCATATGAAATGGAGCGACTGTACCCTTGTAAATGCGATCTTTCTCATTTGTCCATTATAGGACAACTGGTTCTACAGGTGCAAACGTTTTGTTGCAACATACCCTCTTGGACTTTCTGATTATCACGTCTTTTACAAACATGCTTACATCGAGCAGATGCTCTTTCACAGAGTAAGCGTTTACCTACGAATTCACACGATATGACTGCTAAGGATGTGGATGATAAGTACTCCTTGATTCAATTGGATTGGCGGCTGGAAGGCGGAGCTTGTACCTGATGAAGGCTAGGGAATGATCAGAAAGCACTTCGCGAGGGAGACGCAGACTGCGTCGCGGGCGCGAGCGGTTCCAGCCGCCGATCTCGTTGAATTGAAGGCAGCGTCCAGGCAGATCTGGACCTATGGGGCTTTTACGTGGAAAGTACTTTTGGGGCCCTAACTAAGGCACTGCCCAAGCGGCAGCTCAAATAGTGCTCTGATGGCTGAGATATTCCCCTCGAAACTGGACCCCGCGACCGTGTTTCGCATGGATTCATGGCGCAAAGCCTGGATCCTGGCGCGAAACTGCCATGAATCCATGCGAATACGTTCGCGGGGGCCAGTTTCGAGGGGAATATCTCAGCCATCAGAGCACTACCTGAGCTGCCGCTAGGGCAGTGCCTTATTTAGGGCCCCAAAAGTACTTTCCACGTAAAAGCCCCATAGGTCCAGATCTGCCTGGACGCTGCCTTTGAAGGGCGCTGCTGGATGCCTACAGTCACTACAATGCGCCTGTTGTCAAATTTTTAGGTCACGTTCCGCACTAACGAGCTCAAGCATATGATCAATAGCCTGGATCAGAATCGAATGATCATCAATGGGATGATATTTCATGGCATAAATGCCTTAACGTGTACCCCACAGTTGATGATTGATCTGTTCAAAACATCGAGGATCGCCTCTCTTATCATGATTGACTGCGAAATTCCTGCCAGCTTGGCCGAATGGCTGGAGCGTGAATTTGTCCCAACGGTTAGTTTTATCTACATTTGCATAATACCGATGACACGTGAAGGTTCGTAAAAGGCTCCAAGATGAATGCGGTTGCCGTGTAAGCGAAGCGTTCGTGGGCGGACGGATCTGGTAATGGAAAGTGCTCGAGAGCTATATTCGGCCCATTTCGCAAAATAAACCGCCTGACCTTGTCCGAGATCAGCCCTTTTTGCATAATAAGCTTCAGGATGTTCAAATGGGCACCGGGTCAGGAGTCGCACCGCGCGCGGTGGTCGTTCGCCGCGCCCAAATTTTGTGCCTTACAGTATAGGGCGTCCGCGCAGGGTGCGGAGAGTGCGCAAGGTGTGTATTGCGCGTCACTCCTCTTTTCCCGTGCACTCTCGCCGCCTGTTTTCTCTGCGCCATGAACTATCTTCAACGGACGCAGCAGCGCTGCTCCCCGTGCGCAGCGCGGACGGCCGATAACTCTCCGGTGAGTGGCACGGCGCCACAGTAGAGCGGGGGGGGGGGGGTGGCGGCAGATACACAGCTCGATCCCATAAGTAACATTGCGACAGGGGTACTGGCGAAAGCCTAGTTTTATACTGCTTGACGTCGCGTCGGCGTCGCTTCGCGAGAAATTGTGACTCCTGACCCGTACCCTTCAAATGGGATTTTTGCGAAGAACTGATTGCCAAATGAGGCTGTGCGATCGCATTGCGCGTGAGAATTGGATGCTCGTCTCAACACTTTGCGCACCACTTTCTAGATCTGCATTGGAGCAAGCCGTCGCGCTAGAGCACTGCCTGATGACGGAAACGTTCGAACTGACCAAAAGTACAAAGTCAAAAACCAGGGAAAAGTCTCTACTGGACTTTCTACAAAAGTCCTGTTCTCATTTCGTATGGACACTGTAAGCGCCCTAGTTTTGCCCGAACGTTGCCTATAAACCTGAGCAGTTGCCTTCTGCCTAGAGGTACTAAAAGCGCACTTCAGCTTGCGCAGAAAGTTACATTAAATCATTATTATTTATTATTCAAGTCTTTTGAAAGGAAGTAGTCTACTCTTTTACAGCTGGACAAATATTATATTGGATCTTCTCACAGCTTCATCAATTATGGAGATAACAAAATCTTGACTGACGACTGGCTCACGGCACTGTTGCAGGTAAGGTGGTTGGTTGACATTGCATGCATCTGGAGTACAAGCATTCGAATTTAATTGATTTTCAACGCATTTCACCTTCTGTGCAAGCACACTATATTTACCGCTAAATCTACTCGACTAAATAGGGGTACCCTCTAGCATTGGGAGTGGCGGTGGAAGGCGAGCTTCGATCGCTTATCATGGCTAGAGAAGTGAATAAAAAGCACGTTTGTGAGATAGATGCAGAACCCGAGCTCAGCTGCAGCCTCACTCACCAGCCCACTGCCAGCGGATCGGAGCGGTGTTCCCCCCAAAACACCGAGTCCATTCGGAAAATGCGACCTCCAGATTCCGTACGCGTTTCGAAAGCGAGTTCCTGTCACCACTAACCTCACTTGTGCGCGGACGGCTTACAGGTCGTCCCGTGACGACAGGACGGCACCCTCTTCTCAGCGGCTCAGATCCCACGTGATCGCCTCGCTTGGGCACTGCACCGCGTTCGCGAATGTGTCTTCTGATCCTTTCCTACGCATGAACGTGGGGAAGCGCCTAAAGGCGAGCTTCAGTCGTTGATCAGCCTTGGGGAAGTGGTCAGAAGGCACGTTCGCGAATGCTGTGCAAGACCAAGCGGGGCAGTCGGGATTTGGAATGTACCAAGTGATAGGGTAGACGAGTAGTTAGAAGGTTTATTCGCACGTGACGTAGATTTGGACAGAGAATATCGAGGTATTCCGGTGTGAACCGGGGAACCTCTAATACATTCGGAGGTCCTTATATACGAAGGAAGGAGGGGCTGAATCGAGTACAGGGTATAATTGACTGCACAGAACCGCCCGGAATGAGCACCCGCGCGCGTGTCTCTTGCAGGCTAACATTGGCATTCGCGCGCATGAGTCATCATAGCGCCCGTACAGGACCCGGCACGCGTTGGTTTGAAGCTTTTTTGGAAACGAAGTCCCCTATGACTTCGCAAAAATCTACGAAGTCCCTCTCGGCCTTAAAATCAGTAAGAAAGCCCTTATTCTACCAAAATAACGATAATTAGCGAAAAAAGCGCCTTTTGAGTACCTGGTATAGCAAGAAAGCAGAAAGAAAACATTTCGAGTCGATTAAAGGTCCTGCCATTGGATATAGTACCATTTAAGCGCTCGGAATGTCGAAAACCTCCTAGGCCAACCAAATCTGTGGCCTCAACAATCCGCCGATGCATTTTTCGCCACATAGTTCAAAGGACACCGCATGTGGTTGGAGCGCGATATCTATCGTCGTCTCCCCGGTGTACGTTGGGCGGAGCATTTGCGGACATTTGAACACATTGCTGACTTGTTAAACCTCTACTGCAAAGCATGGTTATTTGTCCTCTCTAAACTGCCACGTATATATGAGGTTGTCATACGTGGCAGAGTTGGTAGCGAAAGATCACAAAAAACAATGCCTTGCAGGAGAGGGTTTACAAGACCAACATGTTCAAATGTCTGCAAAAGCTCCGCCCAACGTACACCGGGGAGACGACGATATCAACGCATAGAATTACACCTACTTTTGGTTCAAAAAAAGAGGAGAGGCAAAGTTTTCATTCGCTCTCTTCACTATACGATAGACTTTTGACCGTTCTAATCGTGTAAATCAAAAAGGTCCAAAACGTATGTAAACTTTCCGATATTTATGCTCCGAACCAACCCAGTTGGTTTTGGTGTTGGTCTAGAAACCAACAAATTCGGGAACCGATATTAGGACACATAAGTTTTTGAAACTTTCTACTTAACAAAGTTTTGAGTAATATTGTATACACATAGCCCAAATTCGGAGCTATGTGATTGTTTGTGCGATGTAAACAAGCCATTTGTTTGTTTGAGCCTTGCGTTTAAAATTCGCGCGCTTGCGAAAGAACACGTTCAACTCATGAAACCTGACATGTTCGTCATTTTTTTTGGCGCTTCCTCCAGGACCTTATAAAAACGATATCCCCTTGCTTCTAACTTCAAAAACGAAGTCCAGTTTGACCCCAAACCATCTGTGCCGGGCCCTGCGCCCGTATTCGGCAGCCGCGTTGCAGACACGCTCGCGTGCGTTCAGCCTACAACAACCCGGGCGATTTCGTGCAGGCGACTTTACAATGTACACGAGTTGGTATTTGAAAGGAGATGCCGCCGATCGGCTACACTCCTGGCGCACGAGTACCACTCACTCTTAAGTGATTAGATACTCAAGAGTGAGTAGCTCATTCTTTAGCCTACGGGCGTTCCACAGCTATATGGAATATAGAGTTCATCACTGGTTGATGATATAGAAATCATAAACACAGGATTCGAGCAGCTTGAGAGAGCATCGCTGCTAGTAGCACAGAGAATTAGGTATGTCCTCCTACATACGCAGCATGTCGTAGGTCGCTTAAGCTTTTTAGGTGCACAATGGTTAACGCAGCATTTTTCTTGCATCTCAATCCATTATTGCAGAACTTCTGATCTGCAGTAATGGATAAATATGTCAAGAGACTTTTGCTTCCTAATTCATTTCTCTTGAAGAATTTTGTGGTGATATACTCGCATAATTGCCCGACTCAGTTTGATCTCGTAGGTTAGCTTCTCATGCATTTTTCGAACTGATCATTAAACTGAGCACCAGTAACCGAAGTCTTGAGGGTTCAAGTGAAGATAAAGACAAACAAGAAGTTTTCAAATGCGCGAAATTATTTAGAGCAATTCAAAAAGTTGGTAGCGGTCATTGTATGACCTTCATTTTCGTTGTAGAAGAAAAAATAACGCATAAAGTCATCCAGGTCGAGAATACTCGTTGGTAATTGATTGATAAATAACCATACACCACTGAAATAATGACACTTCACTTTTGAAGGATTTGTTCTTTGAGATGTGGATAGTATTAGATGGCTGCGATTACTGTGTAAGCGTCCCAGATTGTCAGCAAAGTTTGCTAACCTTAAAAAAAATCATGACTACATATTGAGGACTAACAGCAGTATGATCATAGTGTAAGTAGTTTTTTTACTGTCTAAAATTGTTTGTTTCAGAAAATGCATGGCAGTGAATCTGTCGATAAAGACGACGAGTTCATCAGTCTTGGCATACCACATCGATTTTCCAATCTTGGCTCCTATGAGGATCAAGATGAAATAACCAAAAGATATATTGCACACCTCATCAAAATCCAGAAGAATGCCTGCTGATCTTGACAGATCTAGAAACCGAAACATTGGTTGCTGACGTCTTGCTATTCGCAAGCAGACTATTAGTTTTTTCCTTTTCAGTAGCTCTATAAATGATATCAATAGCCGATTTGCTTTACTATCTTTGCAGTGTAATATGGCAATACCCTATTCTTCTTTCTTGGTGAACATATGGAGTTAGGTTTAGTCCGCTGCTTGTGCTTATTCGAATATTTGTTAAGTGAATCATGTTGCTTTAGAATAAGGAATTGTGAAGAATTTGTAGAGCTTTCCATTGAACCTGCTGTACTTGGACGTCCTTTATTGGGCATGATTCGGATAAACATAATGATTTACAGTCTCAGTATTGATCGCCCTTGAAATGGCACGCCATGATAATCTTTCAAAAAACCGTGTATTATCACGTTTATCAAGATTTATGCCATTTCAATGTTTATGCTAAGTTGCTGAATAGCGACAGAGGCGGAAGCAGAGCACAGTTCTATTCGCGTTGTTTCTGCACAGCCTTCGAAAAGCGGTTTGAGGAATTGTGGGTTTGCACCGTACACAGAGAAGGGATACAAAGATAATTTGCGGAAATCCGAGGCCTAAATTTTGATGACACTGCCTTTGATTGCACACAGCTAAAAACTAGGAGTTGGCACGAAAATGGTAGTTTGAACATGCAAAACATATGAAATCGCTATTGTAGTTTGTCTTACAATCTAGAGTCTGTTTCAACCCAAGTAGGCGACAAATTTCACGAGCAGCGTATCCGCACCGTTGAAGTTTTTGCGAGCGCACAACGCTTTGCCAAGCCAAGACTAAAGAGAGTGGAGATTGCAGACATGGATTTTAAACACGATTCGGTGCTGTAGCTGCGAAACAGTGCGAATCATTGCGATGCGGGTGCCCGAATCTGATCCCCCCCCCCTAATGGTAGAAACTTACTGTACATCTTCTTAAAGGCAGCGTCCAGGCAGATCTGGACCTATGGGGATTTTACGAGGAAAGTACCCCTGGGGCCCCAACCAAGGCACTGCCCAAGCGGCAGCGCAGGTAGTGCTCCAACGGCCGAGATCTTCCCCGAAACTCGACCTCGCGATCGGCATCGATTTATGGCAGTTCTGCGCCAGGATCCATGCTTTGCGCCATAAATCCATGCGGAACGATCGCGGGGTCCAGTTTCGAAGGGAATATCTCAACCATTAGAGCACTACCTGAGCTGCCGGTTGGACAGTGGCTTAGTTAGGGCTTCAAAATTACTATCCACGTGCGATCCCCATGTGTCCAGACTTGCCTGGACGCTGCCTTTAACAAGCTGATGTTTATTGTTTGTCGCACGTCTACTTGACTGATGGCATGATCTAGTGCTTAGTGATCCGAGAAATCCTGATAAGAAAAGTGCTGATGTTTGAGACAACTTAGTCAGTTTTGACTGTTAATCGTCGATACCAGTATTTAGAGGTGGAAGCTCTGATGCGTTTGAGCGTATTGGATGTCCACAAGAACATTTACGCTGAAAGGCGTTCCATCTCATCTTTGTCTATTTCTCTTTGTAAATCTTTAGAATGCTCAGTATCTTGTTAAAGCCAAAAGTAAAATCAAAATGCTAGTCGAAGAACATCGACTGAAAAATGAGAAATACTATAATAAAAAGGTATCAAACTCTATCTCTGCTTCCGCTAGTCTAATGGCCACGCTTTTGCAGATTCCCATGCGGAGGGACAGATCCAAAAAAGAACTACCGTATTTTCTCACTTATCTGAGCCGATCAGATTTTCCATTCCACGTCGCCATAGGCGCATTACATGCTTTGCAGAAAACATATGGTTGTCATTTATAGGCTACTGCATGACGAAGGCGCAACATCTTTGGGCGCGAACGCGCCGTAGACGCGCACGAAGCGCAGGGTTTATAACGGTGAAGATACGCGCGCGCTGAGTTCTTGCCCATTCAACTTATCCTGCTTCTGCGCCTTCGTTCTGCAGTAACCTTTACAAGCATCTGAAACTTGCTAGAAAGTGATAACATCTCGCAGGCTCGAAAAGCTTGTAAACCTGTCAATTTGAGAAAGACTGATCAAGTCAGTGTTCATTTGAAACTGAGGGAACCACTTGTCTATGACAATTTAATTGTCGATACAAGCAAAGCAAAACTGGCTGCTTTCGAGCCAGAGGCATAGATCCTACTAATAAAAGGTCAGAAAAAAAGAGTGCTTTTGAGAAAGAATTCAGTTGAGGCATAAAATCAGATGTCAAAGCTGCTGCATAGCAACTGCTGTGTGTCATCAGATTCGCTAGAGGAATGAGAACAAGCACGGAAAAAGCGTTTGTTTATTCATATATTCCCATTAGCATCGAAACCCTGTGATATCTCACAAGCTCGCTTAATACCATCGCGAACTTTTTTTTTGTACGAAGATCCTTCCCAAGTAGCACAAATGATTCAATTATTAGGTCGTAAAGAAAGTTCTCGGGCACTTGCCACCAGCATGCTGTAGTTATATAGATGCTGTAGTTATATAGAGATTTCCTGAGGCGGGAACCATACATGTTTTTGAAGGACCACCTGCAAAAAAAACTTTCCCAGAAAGTTTGAAAATCGACCATATTTTGCTTTCAAAAACGCGCCATTTTTGGTAAATGACTTTGAAGTCTTCTAGTTCTGCACAGGAAGGACCAAATCTTTGATCACTGAGAGCATTGTTGTGGTAATGCTTTGCATATCATTTGGACTCATCACACAGGCCAGGCGATTTCTGCAGAAGCGACATCAGATGCGAAAAGAGCTGCGGTAAGAGGCAAGTTCGCCGGCTTGTAATTTCTTCGCGCAAATCCCAAAACGCTAATGTAGCTGTGGGTCAGAAGTTGAAAGGCTCCTCATTCAGATCACTTATGATTTGGACGAAACTCTATGAAATGCACAGAAAAATGGCAGCAGAAAGAAAAATTGCGAAATTTTATGGTTGGAAGGATACTCTTTTTTGATGTGCAGATCAAACATGATTTGATGTTCATAAAAATTAGAAGCGATTCTGAAAAGCTTGTGCTTTCCTCTACTGGGCTTAAAAGTCTTTTTGTCAAAGTTCGACCGAACGCCAAAAAAAATGCGTCGGAAAATGAAATTTCCAAAAGTGCCCGGGAACTTTCTTTACAACCTAATACTTAGACACAGAATTATGAAACGTAACTTTTGCCTCAGTTTTTGTACTTTCTTTAACCAGTTTACTCTCCATGCCGTATTCAATTCCATGTTAACGCTGGAGCAACGTCTAGGTTGATAATACAGGGAGTGGGGGAGGGGGGCGGGGGGGAATGGGGGGGGGGGGGAGTTCCTCTTGATTTCTTCCTTAAGCTAAAACAACTTTGCAGTTTCCACAATGATTTGCTCTAATTTTCAAAGTAAGAGAATTTAGCATTGCTGTCTTTGTTCCACACACATTTATAGGCGATTATCAAAGGCGAAAGGGTGTTACTATGAATCTTCAAAAGTTCTGGGTAAATTCGTTTTTCACCCATCTACCGTACACCCATCCCGAGAAAAGGCGCTACCGCAAGATGATTATAATAGAAGCGTGCCAAATATCAATCCCCACCCCCTCTTCCGTAGACGAAGTTACGGAAAAGTGATTTTGACAAGTCACCATAATCCTACCTAACTCCACCACATGGCTGATGTGAAAATGGATGTGATAGTCGTAATCAGCGTACAATACCCCCCTCCCCCCTCCCTCCTCCTTCAAAGAGTTTTAGAGCAGTCCGTGATTCTACCAAATGAAGTATCGTCGATTCGTTGACCTCACGGACTGCTAAAACGCTGACCATGACCGGCGTGGCTGAATTGTCGCGAGAGCACGACTTTACAACGGCGAGCGAATTTATGCTGGGGCAAACGTTCTACGTCGCTGTGCGTGCTCCGCAGTGATGTCCAGTCCGTGTGGTCAACGAATTAACACGTTTCGGACCGGTGCTGCGCATGGTGCAGCACGCGCCTTTCAAGAATCTTTTTAATGTTTGCAGAAGCTTTTCTTTTTGTCCAAGGCTATCAAGTCAAAGGCCTAAGCTCCTCCTTTTTAAATGACTCTGTAAGGTTGTGCCGTCGATATTTGTTTAGAAGATAGACAATTCGAACAACAGTTGCAACGAAGTGCGGCAACGCAAACGACGCGTGCGATGTCGCAACTTTTCTTTGCTTCGAATTCAAAGAGAAAAACCGTAGTTCCCATAATGATGTGTATCATGTAGAACATAGATACTTCAGAAACTTCAGAAACTGAGATCTGTTCCTATCACTACGTATAAAAGCATGAATTCGTGCACTTTCCCTAAACGATAGCAGATGGTAGACGAGGAGAAGCCAGACGAGATGCGGACACGCCCCTTGTGTATTCCAATATATGAGACATGTTTTCATTTGTACCAAACCGTCTCGAATTTTTTCCGCGCATGGCTGTCGCCTAAGGACAAATTCCAGACTGTAAACAGACCATCACGAGTCATATCAACAGTCTCAAGACGATGTTTTCGCATAAGTCACATGATTACGCGATCCAGAGCAACATCCATAAAATAAGCAGGCAAATGTTTTCCCCGGTCGAGGTTCAGTATACTATGTCGCCATTCATGAAAAGTCGCCTCGTGCAAGGTTGTTGCCGCATCTTACGTAGGTTTTATCTACTAAAATCTTTTGCCTGCAGGCGGTAAAGATTTTCAACATTTCCAGTTTATGTTTCTGCCTTATGCGTTTACGTTTATTTATCGTTTTTTTTTGTTTCGTTTTTCTCTGCTTACACAAAAACTATATTGCACAGATTAAGTGGGTCTCATGGTAGAGCCAAAACCTAATGCATTTCGGAGCATGTTTAAGAAATACTGCGATTGATGGGAAATTTTGCTTTTCCAAGCTTTTGAGAAAATCTAACTTTTGTCGTATTCCGAAAAGCGTGAAACTGCGTTCTCTTGCCAGAAGCGACGCCTCAGAAGAAAAAGCACTCAGACAACTACGCACGATAATGTCGGAAATTTTGATCAAAAATGTTATCTGATGGGCTTGTACAAAGGTTAATTTGTGTAATTGGGTGTCGCTAGTGGGGGTGAGGTTTTATCTCAGGCTAATCTTGCTTCTGCTTCCAGAATTGAAAGAGTAATTGGTTGCTGGTGGACACGAGTATATATTTATGTAAATATTCCTTGTTGTATGGAAAGGAAAGCGTAAGTAATTAGATTTCGCTGGTGGAGACAAGCGTTTACTTAAAGAAAGGCTTGAGTCTGGGTCTCGTTGGTGAAGGTTTTTTTGGCTTGGAACTCAACGCTTGGATAACTGGTCGCTGATAGAAATAAGCGTTTACTTGAGGAAATCCCGCTTTGGGTATTTTACTAGGTCTCGCTGGTGGAGATGAGCTTCCATCTGAGAAAATCCAATGCTTGAATGACTGGGTCTCGTTGGTGGAGGAAAGCGGCGCTTCGGGTAACGATCTCACTCGTGGAGATGAGTTTCTACTTGGGGAAATCCAACGCTTCAGTAAGTGCTCTCGATGGTGGAGGAAAGCGCTTACTTGGGGATTCAACGCTTTGGGTATTTGGGTCTCGGTGGTGGAGGAAAGCGTTTACTCGGCGAAATTCAATGCTTTGGGTAACGGGTTTCGCTGGTGGAGATGAGCTTTCATATGGGAAAATCCAATGCTTAAATAACTGGGTCTCGCTGGTGGAAGAAAGCGTTTACTTGGGGATCCAACGCTTCGGGTAATTGGGTCTCGCTGGTGGAGGGAAGCGTTTACTCGGCGAAATTCTATGCTTTGGGTAACTGGGTCCCGCTGGTGGAAGTGAGCTTCCACTTAGAAAAATCCAACGCTTGAATGACTGGGTCTGGTTTCCACATAGGAAAATTCAGCGCTTGAACTACTGGGTCTCGTTGTGGAGGAAAGCTTTTACTCAGTTTATGGTCTTCCGTGTGGAAGAGAAAGCTTTTAGATAACTGGGTTTCGCTGGTGAAGATATGTTTCTATTTAAGGAAATTCCACTAGCGGTAACTGGGTCTCCTGTTGAAAATGCTTTTACTTAGGGTTATGCGCTTGAGTAGTGGATCTGGCTGGCGAGCTGGTGAAAATGAGCTTCTGCTAGGTAAAGCATCTATTATCTTGTAGGAAGGGCGGTTGGAAACGAACGCCTATTTAGAAAAATCTGCTTTTCTTTAAAAAAGTATGCATTCAAGTAACTGGGTCTCGCTGGTGGAGATGAGCGTTCATTCGAAAGATTTTCCTAAATGTATGAAGGAGAGCTTGATGACTGGGTCTGGCTGGTGGAGCCAACGCTTTCCATAAAGGATTATAGCGGGCAACTTTTTCGTACATGAATGGCAAAATTTGATCGATGATTGAAGGGCATTTATCTAAAAAAAATTGTGTAAAGAAAACATAAGAGTAGACGCTTTTAGACGTTTTCATGGGGAAACCTCACCTATACTTGTAGAAAAGCGAGTTATTGACGAGTCCCGCAAAATAAAAAGGCTCAAAGTTCAGGGTAGAATATCAGTCCAGAAAACTTTTTCAGATGCTTCCACCCGATACCTTGGAGCAAATTGATTCGGCGAAAATTTTTTTCAAGTAAAATAAAATGCAGGAAGATGTCATTGAGATGCACAAACTTTCTAAACATGTGCTTCGATCCACTTATAGCGACCCGCAGGGTCGCTAGTTTTTCAGGAAAACACAGAAGTCCTTCTCAGGCGACAAAATTCAAACACTTCGAATTCACTCAAAACATTGGGTGTGAATCTTATCTGACAAGCTGATTACAGATATAGCACAGAGTCTTCGAATTAAGGTCCCTTTGTTGGCTAATATCTGAAAGTAACCTCTTTTTCGCCGCGCGCGATTTCGCGGTCCGAAACGTGTTAACTATACCAAAGATACCCCCTCAACGAGAAAAGGGCATGTTGAGGACTTCTTACTACCTTAGTTAGTTTCATTGTATTGAAACTTTGAGCGGATTATAGCCAAGAAATGTTGACTCCAATATTCAGCACTACCTTTTCAATGAAGTATCACACATTGACCCATTGCTGCCGTAGTACCATGATCAAAATTTCGAAGAAAAATGAAAGGATGGGCACAGTTTGTCGCAATCCGTAATGCAAATTTAGCATGTTGCACGTCCGGACAGCTATTTTTTGCGCCATAAAGCGGCGCATGGTCGGATGCGACTCAGTGGGTCTCAAGACGAATGTCCTCTAGAAATCATTTCGTAGAACCACCATATAACTCTCCATAGGCCCCGGGCAGACTTCACGCGATTTGATCGTTCGCGACGAGACAACTGTTACAACATCATTCCATGCCGATCAACTTGCATTCGGTTGTAATACTTTTCCAGCCCGAAATTTTTGAATGTGAAATGAAAATGAATGGAAATCTTGGCGATTAGATCGCGACGATTAAGTCGCGTGAAGTCTGTCCAGGGCCTTAGGCCTAAGGCATACCTCGCGCGATTCCGGTCGCTGCGCGATTTGGCATAACAGCGACTCTTTGTAATTCGTCGTTAATGCGCTTCCTTTGGTCAGGACTTGACCCATTTGCAACAACTTACACAAGCTACCCGCCTATGTGTTCGAGAAGCGCGCACGATAAATCTGTAGAAATCGGCAAATCGCCAAGTCGCTTGAAAGCGGCGATTTGGCCGAATCGCGTCAGGTATGCCTTAGACCTTACTAGATAATACGTTTCACGGTTTTCTCTTAACCGTTGCAGTATCACAGCGGTATTATCGGCGGTCTTTGTAGTCGCCTTCAATCATAGCTCAATTTCATTTTAATTTCGCGCGTACAAGATGCGGGGGATTTTTTTTAATCAGCCCAAATACGCCGAAGGACTTCGCGAGCAAAGGCCCCTAAGTCATGCCGTGTATTGCTTAGGTGAATCGTGCAATATAAAGATCGCTTTTTGAACTACAGTGAAGCGGCTGAGCGTTTCGCATGAAAAATCAAAAAGGTGCGCCTTCTACGCGTGAAACCAGGGTATGCGTAAGTAGTTGCCGTTGATGAATCCGCCTTTTCAGATCTCGTGATGGAACTTCCATCAAGCTCGCGTACGACCGTCACAGCAACCGGAGCGACCCAGGAAGAAAATCCAGAAAGTCGCGACGTTCCCTTTCCTTTCCTGGAGCTTCCACCCGAGTTGTGCCTGCGTATTGTGAAGCATCTGGCAAGACTTATCGCTTTGTCGTACTACAGTGCGCAGTTAGAAAAAAACGGCTTTTGGGAAAACGCTCTTGTTTTTGCAAGCCAGGTAATGGTATTTAACCAGTCTCTAAATATCAGCCCATGGTTTTTGACTGCCAGCATACATATATAGGCCGTCTCCGCAAGGTGTGTACTGCGCGACACTGGGTGGAGGACTATATGTCGCCGAATTTGGAAGAATCCCGCCCGGATTCCCTGCAGGAACGCATGTCCGCGCATGTACAAGAATGCGTATTTGTCGCAAATGACCGCGGGGACCGCCCTTTTTCGGCGACATATTTTCCTCTACCCCGCGACACTCCTTTTTCCTCATGCAATTTCGACGCTTGTTTTCTGTGCGCCTCTTCCAGTCATGTATCTCCAATGGACGCAGCGGCATTTCTCCGAGTACGGCGCGGACGGCCATAACAACACAGAACCGACCGAGTTGTGCGGAGAAGCATGCTTGTACAAGGGTTTGGCCATACTTTGCCTGTGTTGCCGATGTTACCAGTGTTACTAGTGTTACCGGTGTTGCCGATGTTACCAGTGTTACTCGTGTTACTCATGTTTCTAGTGTTACCGCCTTTATTGCTGTTTGCAATGACCTCCAGTACAGTCCCATTTTCTCGGACGACACCTCACCATTTGGTTAGCATCTGTACTAATACTGATGCCGAATGCTATTTATAGTTTGGCAATTCTTCAAGGCAGTGGCTTGGGGAAAATTGCGATAGCAAGCTTTCCACAATTACATGGCTTTTTGAATGCGCTGAGTATTGCTGTGCTTGAATAGTCAAAAAGTACTTTTTACGGCGTTTTCTACTTTGGAGATTTTTGGAAAGGGATGAGCGAGCGATCGCCAACTGAGTCGCGACTGGCTGCCTGAACCGATCAGCCAGTCACGCCAAAACGGGTAGAGTTACAGTCTACTGCAGCCAGTAGCTGTTTATGAGGGATCCCTCCCTAGTCCCTCCAGTTATTTCCAAGACAGGGAAACGCTGTAGTACTTTTTTTGACTACACAAGCACAAATAAACTCAGCGCATCCAAAAGGCCATGTAATTGTGGAAAGCTTGCAGTCGCACTTTTCCACGAGCCACTGTCTTGAAGAATTGCCTTTAAGCATTGGTAGTAGTACAATTACTCAACAATTGGTGAGATGTCGTCCGAGAAAATGAGACTATACTGGAGGTCATTTCAATAATCAACAGCAATAAAGGCGGTAACACCAGAAACATGAGTAACATGAGTAACACGATTAACACTGATAACATCGGCAACACGAGTAACACGAGTAGCACTGGTAACATCGGCAACACGAGTAACACGAGTAACACTGGTAACATCGGCAACACGGGCGAAGTATGGCCAAAGCTTTGGCCTAAGGTTTGCCAGATCGTGAAGGCCATGTCAGCTGCGGACATTGCCCACGAAGAACTCCACAAGGCCCCAAACCACTTAAAGGCAGCGTCCAGACAGATCTGGACCTATGGGGATCTCACGTGGAAAAAACTTTTGTGGCCCTAACTAAGGCACTGCCCAAGCGGCAGCGCAGGTAGTGCTCTAATATAGCTGAGATATTCCCCTCGAAACTGGACCCCGCGATCGTGTTCGCATGGATTCATGGCAATTTCGCGTCGGATCCACGCTTTGCGCCGTGAATCCATGCGTAATACGATCGCGGGGTCCAGTTTCGAGGGGAATATCTCAGCCGTTAGAGCACTTCCTAAGCTGCCGTTTGAGCAGTGGCTTAGTTAGGGCCCTTAGTTAGGGCCCCAAAATTGCTATCCACGTGAGATATCCATGTGTCAGAACTTGCCTGGACGCTGCCTGTAAAGGCACACCTGGCGAATCTGGGCGCATTGGATTTTCGCTTGGAATGATGAGGGTGTTCTGACTAAGGACTTCTCTAGGGGCAGCACAACTTGTTCATTCACGGCTGAGAAATACGTCCTCGAAAACCCAGCGAATGCGCCGTGACTGTAACCCGAAAACGACTTCGTTCACTTTAACACTACGTTCGCGCTCAGATCCATCCTAAGGGCCGCATGCACTAACCTCCCCGCGGGGAGGTTAGTGCATGCGGCCCTAAGTGTTGCGGTCACGGCGCAGCCGCGGGGTGTTTGGGGATGAATTTCTCAGCCGTAAATGAATTACTTGCGCTGCGGTTTGGGCAGACAAAAAAAATCTTTTATATAAAGCTGAATGTGTTTCTGTCTCTCTGTATGTCTGTGTGTACGTATGTGCCGAATAGAAATTTTTCTGAACCGAGCCGGACCAAACCTTAGCACACATACATACACGTCGGGGCGGGGAGCGTGCCATAGGCTACTTTTCGTATCAATCGATATCGATTTTTTCAAAATTTGAGCTGAAGGGCTGGGAGTTGGCACAGGGGAGTAAGCGGGCATGCTGATTTCGAAAACAACACAGGGGACGGGAAATGAAGTGTAGAAATGGGCATAGAGAAAGGCTGCACAGGGACAGGGATGGGATTACAGTGTTTTGACAGGGCTGAGCCGAGCCGGGTAAGCAAGCTAGTTTTCTGTTAGGGGCCAGGCATACTTCACGCGATTTCAGTCGCAATGCGATTTGGCAATATTTTAAACTGCCCATAATTCATTGTCAACACAATCTAAATGTACAGAAGATAGGACATTTTATCAATCCACGTAAGTTATACACATTATGCATGTGCAGTTTGTGTGTGTTGGATGTGAAGACTTCTGGCGAATTGCCATATCGCGTCGCGACTGAAATCGCGTGAAGTATGCCCGGCCGTTTATGCTACTTACTTAAATACTTGGATGGCACGTCTTCACGTTGCGTGCGGGCCTCAGCACAAAAGTTTCTATCGATCCCTGTTCCTCGCTTCAGCATCCACAATCTTCTTGGTTGACGTCATTGGCTGCGTACGAGTTCCAGAGGCGAAATTCGTATCCAGCTGATTTCTCAGCTGGTTTATCCGTTCCACAAACACGTCTGCCCATCTCGTTTGTGGTCATCCTCGGGGACGTTTAGCATCGCGGGGAATCCACTGATGTTCTTAGTGTCCATCTGTCGTATGTTCTTCTCATGAAGTGACCGGCCTATCGGTGTTCCGCTTTCGCAATGCGAAGTCCGACTACATGTTGCTTGCGTCGGGTCATCTTCAGAAGACTGCGCTCGAGCGCTTTGTGGGTGGTACGTGAAACTTTCGACGTGGCTGCAGTGTCGGCCCAACTCTCAGATGCGTAACAGAGCACCGGGAGAACGGTTAAGTTGAACAGGTGGGCACGAAGCTCCGGTTTTGTCAGTTGGTCGGTGGCTTCCTTCAGAGCCCAAAGCGGCCCAGGCTGCTCTTCTTCTCCTGTTAAGTTCTTCCCTCAAGTCGTTCTCCATGTTCATCGAACGTACGAGAACACGTAAGAAGACGTCTCCATAATAACGTGCCTTCCGATTCCATTTCTACACCTTCGCAAAGGGCGTTTCTCATGAACTGAGTCTTGCGATTCATTCGCAATCCGATCCTCTTCCCTATTTGGTTTAGTTCCTTCAGCATCATCTCTGCTTCACGGATACTGCTCGAGGAGAGAACGATTTCGTCCGCAAAACGAAGGTTGGGTAGGAATTTCCCCTCAACTCGTATGCCTCTTTCGTCCCAGTCCAGTGATTTCATCACCCACTGGAAGACCGCGGTGAACATCTTCGGCGAAATAGTTCGCCTTCTGTTGTGCTAAAAAACTTGAAATCTATTGTTTTGCTTTTGCAGGAAATTTATAGAAGAAATTTTCCGATTCAAAAATGTCTGGAGCATTCCTGTTCTCAGATCACGATGAACCATGTGAAGCGCTTCTCTTATTCCACACTGTTTCAGTCAAGCATAGACTATAAATTTTCTGCGATGTGATCGATATAGAATCTGTGGCAATCTTTACAACTCCAAGGCAGTTCGTTAGCGCATGAAGGTGCGTGGTGCGCAAAGTTCTAGGCAGGAGGTTTGAACGGTGCCGCTTTTAAAGGTGTCCGAAGGATGAGGTTTTGGGAATTCAGTGCTATGCGAAAGTGCCCCTCTCTCGTAAAGCTTTGGAAAACGCATGTTTTCGCCGTCTTCGCGCTTTCTAATGTGAATTTTCGGCAATGTTGCGGATACCCGGTGAGCGGTTTAGCTAAAAACCGAATTTTTGCCCGGACGACACTGCCTTTACTGTTGTTCAGTTGAGGCGTTGGCGACAGCTCTGATGCCTACCTGCGGCATGCGGCTGCCTGGGTAACACTTGCACGCCTCCCCCGAACTGAGTGGGGAAACGAAACTCCTCCAGTTTAGACCGCCTCCGTGGATTGCTGGTGTAACGACATGCATTAATATGACTAAAGACCAGATGCCCAAGAAAGCGGTCCAAACTGGCGAAGTTCGTTGCCCCATCCCCCCCCCCCCCCGACCGGGGTGGGGAATCCACCGACAGAAGGAGTGGGATGGGGGAGCCTTCTTTCCATTTCCCGAAAAGAGATTACGAATTTTTTTTTTTGCATGTAGCCTGCATAAGTTATGAAAGTGAGTAAAGGATTTGTTTTTCTTGATGATTAGTTTTTGTAATTTTCTGGAAATTCAAATTAGCTGTCTGAAGTTTTTGAACGTGGCTATCATTACGCTCCTTTTTCAAAAAAAGTTTCGGCAAAATCATAGGCGGGCAAAATTATCGCTATAGGCCGTCTGCGCAGGGCGCAGAGAGTGCGCACGATGTGCACTGCGCATCACTCCTCTTTCCTCGTGCACTCTCGCCGCTTGTTTTCTCTGCGCTTCTTATGAAATATGTTCAATGGACGCAACGCGTTGCTCCCCGAGCTCGGCGCGGACGGCCTACAAGCATCTCGAGAACTCTTTTATTGCGGGAAAAAAATTTTGTCTTTCCTCTATCTCCACAAAGAATTCCTCCGCCACTGCCATGTCCTTATTATCAGCCACACTCTGTTTGCTCCGTGACTTGAAAATACGATACTGTACTCTTTTTTTCATCACCCTGGTTTAGACATGCGCTTTTGGAATGCTTGAAATGTAAAACTCAAAGGCAGCAGTTGCCAAAACCGAACATCCCGGAATTTTGACATGGAAAGTTGCTTGCACCTCAAGCATGAGAATAGAGCAGGTCCGAACGCACAGCATGCTGCCCCTGCCTAGAAAATCCCGTGACGCGCAAGCCATTCTGATACGCGCGGACGAGCTTGCGATGCTCCCTGACCCGTCAGAGAAGGTATGTCGCAATGTCATAACTGCGGGGGCCCGCAACGATTCTGCCTCGTTAAGGTAGGTGCCAGAGTAAGAGAATATTTTGTTCAGCTTCATTCAGCCGCAAAAGGCGCACAGAATTAACGTTAATTCTGCGCGGGACCTGCAGTTGAAGCAGGCCTTGGCAGCAGTAGAGATTATGCAGCAGACACGCTTACTCTGGCACCTACCTAACCATGGCGGAACGTGCTCCACTCGTCCAAATTGGAAAAATTGGAGGCCTTGGGAAATGGTGGTTTCTGCCATTTGAGCGCTTTTCATTGTGGATCTCCGGAATCAGCGTCTCGAATTACTCCAGGTGGGAAAAAAAACTTCAAGTCGAGAATCTGCCGAGCTGCTGCCTTTAAGGCACTCTCAAAAGCATAGATTCGTAAACTGGTCCTTTTGTTGACATTATAAATCTTTTTAGGATCCAAAGAGATCCTGCTACGGTGACCTTCGGCTTTTGTGTAAAGCAGTCAATGATCTAATAGAAAAGAATAGAGGCACCCTTGGAGGATTACGAGCGAAAAGGTTGATCATTGGGCAGGTACGTCATCCTAATGTTAGCGCTTTGAGCGCTGTATCAAAATCAGGAAATGCAGCTTATTGTTTTCCTCATATTCTTTCAGCATAGTTCATTTGATCGTTGTCCCAGACGTATTGTAGTACCAGAACCTGGCAAACTTCCAGACTGCTTAGACTCTTGTGCACTTGGTTATGTGGAACAGATGTTCTTCTATATGGTAAGTCGTTCTTCGCTAGCGGATATCAATGAGAAAATTGATGTCAAGTTTACTCTCGAAAATTTGATTAATTGCGGTTGTCCAATGATGATTTTTTAGGTCAAAATTGAAACCATTGCACTTGGGCACATAGTTAGTAAGCTGCGAAAGAATCGCATAAATGTTACCGCAATGATTTTCTATGGCGTGGAGTTCGCTTGTGAAGCTACTTCGCTGGCTGACCTCTTCAGTGTTTCGGTCACTAAATGTGTGGTTATGATCGAATGTCAACTCTCTACTGAACTGAAGAATTCCTTGAAGGATTCTCTCGTGCAGCAGCTTCGGGTTGTTTTTTTTGGGTGATTGCAAATCAAATAATCTATTGCAGCTGAAAACATTTTTTATCGGTTCTTTCGCAAGTTTCGAAGTGTACATGAAAAGCATCATACCATCAGAGGAATGGATAAAACGTTTATTACAGGTAGGCATAACTGTGATCGACTCGGAAAGCAGCGTGATGTGTACTTGACTGTATAGCTATAAAGTGTCAAATACCGATTACTAGTGCTATTTGAGATTTTTAACGCATTTGTATGGTCTACAGCATACAATTTTGCGGAACCCTTTACAGCGTGTCCAAATAAATAAACCAAATGTTTCATCTCAAATGACTTGCTTGTATGAAAGGCTTTTCGCGCCATCAAACATCGTGGTGAAAAGCTGACTTCAATATAAAGTTTACAGTATGGAGCGAGTCGCTGCTTCCTTCATCAGTGTAGATTACGCGACTGATTTTGACTAAGGTTTTGAGCTATATGACACTGTGCCTCAGAAAATAAAGCAAGCAATCTGGAAACTCTTACCCTAGTCTGGCTGAAGTCGCTGACTTTATTTGAAAAGTTTGCTGATCGTAATACTTCATAAGTTAGGCCGCGGATACCGTGACAGCGTCTTTTCACTGCTCCTCGTGCAATTGTTACAATAGTGAACGTTGCGCGGTGGAAGCGGCTAACTCAACGGTAGAGACACGGTGGTATATCATCATTTATTGTAAGTAACCAACAATACTGCAATAGGTAATGATTTATTGGCAAAAATATATGAAAGGATCTCAGAGGTCCAACGAGGTTGAATAGATGGTGCGGGTGGTTCGGGGTGTAGGCGGCATCAGCCGCTCGGTGGCTGGAAGGTCTCATCAATGAATCTCCTTTCCTTCAGCTTTGCTTCTCGTCGACCACGCCCTGAACGAATGAGTCATAATATCACATTCTTAAATATCACATTCTTGAATAATCTCCGATCTCCTACCGTTTCCGATCTCTTACACCTCCCCCATTTACCAACAAGTCCGTCCTCGGACTTAGGCGGAGACGTAAGGGGTCGGGATGTGACTTCAAAGAAAGTTAAAGAAGACATACCATTATGAAGGTGGAAGATATGTGCTGAGCTGCGCAGCTTGAATGACAGACCGTCTGCTGTTGGCCCATTGGATGATCGTTGTCCACAAGTTGATCTTTGCGAGGGATACCACATGCTCCAGGAGGAACAAGCCATGACGTGCGCGGGTTAGTGCAACATTCAAACGTTTGCGGTCGTCTAGGAATTCGGTGGAGTCAGGGTCAATGTCGGTACGAGTGGTAAGGAGGATGACAATATCTTTCTCGCGACCCTGAATTGAGTCGATGGTGGCGACTTCCACGTGGGTTTGTTGGGCGAACGTTGAGAGACAACGAAGTTGTTCTTTGTAAAACGTTAGTATGCACATGGAATCCGGCTGAATGTGGCGAGCTCTTAGACGCTCGACGAGGCTTGACAGACTTGTGCTTCGGCATCGTTGTGGTACGAGCGGCTTGCAGCAGTCAAATCGGAAGGCGACGATCGCCTCGCTCGTTGGGTCCACGTGAGCATCGCTTCACTCAAAGTCTACCCCCTCCAATTGTTCTTCACCTTAGTCGGGATGACGGCCGAACGAGGATGGGAGAAGGGCCGTCCCATAGAAATGTGGATTGACGGAGTCCCCTACCCATTCAGCGTCAAGGTCCACCAGGTGATCCTTAACTCCGAAAATCGTCAGCTACGCGTCACCCTTCTGGCATACCCATGGTCGCACAAAGCGCTGGTCGACGCTATCGAACGACTTGGCACGCTCACTGACACGACGTGGTATCTGCACGCTATCGTGCGCCTCAGCAGAGGATCCGCTGCCTCTGAGCCAGCGTACGAAGCCGTATCCCGCATGGAACTGTTCGACCGCATGCGGCCCGGAACACCCGCTGACAGGGCTGTGAATCGGATTTACGGCTTCACACCCGCGTCCTGTGCACAAACCGGAACGCACCGAGTCCCCTCATTGCCTGAGGCAGATACATCCTTCAGGATCAGAAACCGTCGAGTCGTTCTATCACACGACAAACGTCGGGCCGTTGAAGTGGGATGTTCGAACTACTCCATCGTAACCATTCAGGCCGCCTTCGGCACAGGCAAGACCATGGTAGGCGCTTTCATCGCCTCTCGCCTTGTTCGCACGGAGCTGTGCCGCATTGTGGTGACGGCATCCACCAACGCCGCTGTCGCCCAGTTCGCGCGCACTCTGCTCGACATCGACGGGGCAGCCAACGTACGCATCCTCCGGTTCGTTTCCGAGAAGGTGGCCGCTGACGAAACCAACCCACTGCCAGTGGACCTAAACGAGGTGCTCAAACGGCTCGGTGACGAGCTTGCTCCGCAGTTGAATGCACAGGATAAGAGCACCTGCCGGAGATTCCCTGACGGCCGACTGCAGTACGAGTTCTATCACGGCCAGATCAACCAGGAGCTCACAGAGCAACAACGAGATGAATATATTCTGGCTGAGAAAGATGTCTCGGAAACCATCAACCAGATGGTGAAGATCATGTTTCGAGTGAGCGCACCCCAGATTATCTGCTTAACAACAGCGTCGCTGTTGAACACGTCCGGCCCCAAGGGACTCTTCGAAGCCTACCTGCCCAATTACACCGTCCTGATCTCGGACGAGGCTTCTCAAATACCGGAGCCGGTTCTAATTGCAATGGCAAATCTTCTGCCGCGGGCCCGCCATATATGTATTGGCGATGTCCATCAATTGGACCCCCACGTCCGCTGCCCCCGGTCGAGTACTTAGTCAAGTACGGAGCCAGAAGTACCATGGACGTCTTGACAGCGGCAGCTGTCCCCGTTGCCCCCTTGGTTACCACCTATCGAGCCCACCCCGAACTCAACGACTTAGCTAACACGTTCGTGTATGGAGGAACACTACAAAATGGCGTACAAAAGGCACACCGATCCATGCTTTTGAATGTCATGCGAGTGCCAGACGGACGTACCCCATTTCTAATGCTGGACGTTGCCGGGAACGCAGAACGTGCTGCAAGCCGCTCGTACTATAACGATGCCGAAGCACAAGGTCTGTCAAGCCATCGTCGAGCGTCTAAGACTCGCCACATTCAGCCGGATTCCATGTGCATACTAACGTTTTACAAAGAACAACTTCGTTGTCTCTCAACGTTCGCCCAACAAACCCACGTGGAAGTTGCCACCGTCGACTCATTTCAGGGTCGCGAGAAAGATATTGTCATCCTCCTTACCACTCGTACCGATATTGACCCTGACTCCACCGAATTCCTAGACGACCGCAAACGTTTGAATGTTGCACTATTCCGCGCACGTCATGGCTTATTCCTTCTGGGGCATGTGGTATCCCTCGCAAAGATCAACTTGTGGACAACGATCATCCAATGGGCCAACAGCAGACGGTCTGTCATTCAAGCTGCGCAGCTCAGCACATATCTTCCACCTTCATAATGGTGTGTCTTCTTTAACTTTCTTTGAAGTCACATCCCGACCCCTTACGTCTCCGCCTAAGTCCGAGGAGGACTTGTTGGTAAATGGGGGAGGTGTAAGAGATCGGAAACGGTAGGAGATCGGAGATTATCCAAGAATGTGATATTATGACTCATTCGTTCAGGGCGTGGTCGACGAGAAGCAAAGCTGAAGGAAAGGAGATTCATTGATGAGACCTTCCAGCCACCGAGCGGCTGATGCCGCCTACACCCCGAACCACCCGCACCATCTATTCAACCTCGTTGGACCTCTGAGATCCTTTCATATATTTTTGCCAATAAATCATTACCTATTGCAGTATTGTTGGTTACTTACAATAAATGATGATATACCACCGTGTCTCTACCGTTGAGTTAGCCGCTTCCACCGCGCAACGTTCACTCAATTGCAATTACATACGCCATTTAAAAAGCCTCTATTACTTGCAGAAGTTGAGTATCGAATTCAGGGTGACTAAAAATCTATGGGAATGAAGAGAGATCGCTGATTTCTTTCATACTGTGGATAAGTTGAAAATAGTTTTTCCTTATATTAGGTTGGCTCGAAAGTTCTGGGACATTTTCAGACTAAATTTGCTATTTCTCGAAACCCACTGCATGTACATCCTCAAAAATTTGCAGATGTGCTCTCTCTCGCATTTAGCTGATATCTAAGCAAATGGGAGGAGCTTAGGACCAACGTGGGCGGAGTTTGCCACTTTTCAATAATCGTTTTTCTTGTTGTTTAAGCTCAAATTCCGCACAAAATGTGCTTATAAGCATATAAGTATGTTTGTACTATAAAATGGAGCATGTGGGGATTTCATAACGTTTATAGAAGCTGGAGATCTGGGTTAGATCAAAATCCTATGCTTTGAAATTTGCGCCCGAATTTTCTCATAAAACATTGATGATGCTTTTGCTTACCATAGTTTTGTAGAGATTGCTTTCCTCTATCCAATGGTATGCAACATGCCCCAATCAGTGCTTACATCGAAACAAAAACTTTGTCTAAATGCAATGTCCCAGAACTTTCGAGCCAACCTAATGGAATTCGAAGGCGTGAAGGCTTTTCAGAGTTATTGAAGATCAAACATTTAATATATTTTTGGGCAACGTGTATATATGGCCTCTAGTTAGCCTGTTGATTCAACATAGTGTTTTTGTTTTCAGTGGACAGTATCATTTGTGTCGGATACACTTGGTCGCACTCAAGTAGTATGCTTCCGCAGTTATAGCGAGATCAACAATTCTGGCGTTTTTTATATGGTCCAAACTAATCCTGCACAATCCTGTATATGGTCCAGAGTAATCCTGTACTATCAGTACTCTGCGTTGATACCACTGCT